GGGTATGTGTGTTGTTTGACGAGAGAGCAACCAACATCTCCAATCTGGACAGCACAAATCCCCAATCTGGTAACGGCGAGTCGAAATCCCTGGATTGTCAACAGATGGGTGGTCATTACGAGCGGACAATTCGATGATTTGATCGGACGCATCGACGCTACGGTCAGCGCCAGAACGAGCAGATGATTCGACGATTCGATCGGATGTATCGACATTGCGGTCAGCGCCAGTTATGTCATAGGTACCCTCGGTTTCAGCTGGGGTCTCTCTCTGAGAGGACTCTGTACTCTCTAGCGGGTCTGTGGGCATGTGCGGCTCTGAAGGTCGAACTGCTTCTACACCATGGGGCCTCAAGTGGTCAATGTGCCTTCGATCCAGCATTCACCATTTGTCAGCCTCACCACATATGAAAGTGGGCCAGTCCGTTCCTCCACCTGAGCCTCCAACCGACAGGGGCCAGCTTACCAGTTACGGGCCCAAACGGGTTGCCCTATGGTCAGTTCCCGCGACTTGCGGTGTAGGTCATGCTGACTCTTTTGCCGAGCCTTTTTTCCCTCACTCTGGCTCCCACATCCGGTGTCAGCAGGTCTAAACGTGTGCCAATATTCCGGCCAAACATCAGTACACTGGGCGACACCCCGTGGTGGCATGTGGTGCTGTACGGAGTTGAAGCAAGACGGCATGTAGAGCCTGGTCCACCGAAATCCCACTTCCGAGTCCGGCTCGTATGCCCCGCTTGACAGTTTGAACCAGTCGTTCCGCTGCCCCATTGCTGGATGGGTGGTATGGCACCGTTCGAATGTGTTGGACGCCATTGAGGGCCAAGAATTGGGCTAACTGCTCAGATACAACCTGGGGCCCATTATCCGAGACTAATTGCAAGGGAATCCCATATCGGGCAAACATTTCCCGCAGTGCAGTTATGGTGCACGCGGCCGTAGTGGTAGACATGACCTTGGCCTCCGGCCATTTGGAGTGAGCATCCACAGCAAAATTCTTCCCTGTATAAGGCCGGCGTAATCCACATGAATCCTCTCCCATGGGCCCGAGGACCATGCCCATGGGTGGAGAGGTGCCTTCGCCGGAAGGCTTCTTGTCTCCTGACATGCCTGGCAGGATTGTACGCATGTCTCAATTTCTGCGTTTAGCTCCAGCCACCACAAATAACTGCGTGCAAGGGCTTTCATTTTCACAACCCCTGGGTGCCCCCGATGTAGATCAGATAGAACCCTCTGCTGTAACGCCTCAGGCACGCAGACTCGTATGCCCCATGTGATGCAGTCTCCTTCAATCGATAGCTCCTCCCACTTCCTCCCGTATGGCTTCATAACCTGAAGAGGCTCTTTCGGCCAACTTCGGCGTAGGTATGTCAGCAGCTTGCCGAGGATAGGGTCAGCACGAGTCTTGGCTTCCACCTCGGCGGCCTGTACTGGTAGGGCCTGTACTAAAGGAAGTTGCATCCGCCACATTCCCTTCCGGTTGGTTGTCATGAACGGGCAGTCTCGAGAGCCCGTCAGCATTGGCATGTGCGTGAGTTGAGCGATACTGTATGGCCTACAAGTAGCTCGACAAGAAGAGAGCCCAATGCTGCATGCATGCTGCTGCAAGTGGAGGAATCACTTGTTTGGGGTGGAGGATAAAAGTGAGAGGTTTGTGGTCGGTCACCAATGTGAATCGACAGCCATACAAGTAGTTGTCCGGACTCCGAACATGTCCAATTGCGAGTAGTTTTGTTCACTCACCTTCAGCGTTCGGGATGCAAAAGCTATTGGCTGCTCTGTCCCGTCTGGGTTTCGATGTGACAAAGCCGCCCCCAGGCCATATGCAGAGGCAGCAGTGGCTAGGACAACAGGGCGGTCAGGGTCATAGTGAACCAGGACAGGAGCCCGCGTCAGTTTCCTCTTTTGAGATGTACTCTGTGCTCTCGTAGCCGCTTCAAGACTTCTTCCAAATGGGTCGTTGGTGTTATTATTCGACATGTGACCAGCCACCAGGTATTTGTCAAGTCTAGATACTTGGCGTTAATACTGTACGTATTGAGTCCATAGCCCTTTGGAATACCGCAGGTGCAGAAGACACCCCAAAAAAAGGGCGGGTCTGTATCACCGTAAAGACCTTGTGGGTGTTTATGGTGGACAGCTTATGGTACTCCACGTCAAGCTCCAATAGTTGGTAGGCCGAGGTGATGTCCAGCTTACTAAAGCACACTCCACATGTCAGACATGCCATGAGGTCCGCTGGTCTTAGGAGGGGTATTGGTAAACCAAAAGCTCAGCATTTTAATGTGATCTGCGTTCCACGCATCAAGAGACAGGCAGTTGGGGGCAGTCTGGGGGGTGAGCTGGGGGGGGGGGGCAGCGGGGTGCGTCTTTCTTCGGAACTGGTACTACGGGTGCGTCCCATGTTGCGTGAGTTACTTTACGTAGCACTCCAAGACTCTCACTCCTATCCAACTAGGTCGCGAATGGCATACGGCACTCGTGGTCTCCAGGCTAGTTTGTCGCGGAGAGTCTGACACGGGCTAGCTGCACTAAAAGATAGCATGCTGATGCGGGAGTCAATACACAGCCCTCTGCCTCCGCAAGGGACAAAGAGCAAGCGGATCGGTAGAGGCGATTGTGTATATTGGCTTATTCGCTTGTTTTCACGGTATATCTCTCAAATGCAGTCGTTTCAGGAAAATCGCCGTTTTATTTTTCAGGTTCGCTTAGTTCAGAAGACATTGGTATCGCTCATGGGCCGCCTCGTAGCCCGTAGTGCGAGAATAGCTGCTGACAGACGGACAGACAGACAGACAGACAGACAGACATTCTGACAGACTGACACACACACAGACGAAGTACTGTAACCCTCGCTACGCATGCACGCCGAGGGTTAATTACACCTTTTGTCTTAGTGTTGCAGCTTATCTGCCACCTCTATTGGGGTGTTTTCAGATAAACCAGCACTGCCACTCTAAAACTGTAATAACATACCTATTTGTCTTGCCTGTATTAATTACAACCCAATCTGATTATGCAGGATTAGTGATGCAAAAGCTCAAGAGATCATAAACAAAGCCATGAAATCTGGTAGCCTGCCACAAAGGAATCTGGTGGGAGTGATTACAGGTCCAGTGGGCTCAGGGAAGACCACTCTTTTGCACCATCTCTTTGGTATGGCACCTCCCGATCTCTATACAAGCACTGGTCTTGCTGAGCAGTCCATTCGAGGATTTCTCCACCACATAGTGCAACACTTGTCAGCTGGTGTGTGGCGACGTCTTTCTTACCACCACATCCGTGAATTTCTTACATCTTGCATGTTAGCTGGAATGAAGGAATCTGATATTAATTCTCTTGCTTCTCTTATCATAAATAACATGGATCCCATCTCCAGCGACCCATTCCCATTCCAAGGCTCACCTTTACCAGCATTAAATATGCCATCTCCTTTGCCAGTGGTACATAGTCTTGTTGAGCAGAATGCACCTTCAGCACACGATGAAAGTCCTTTTTGCCAAAATATTCTTCCGCTGGTCAAATCAGCAAATAATGATTCCACAGTAGCCGGGGATCTGATATTAGAGCTGGTCCACATGATAGACACAGGTGGTCAGCCTGAGCTGATGGAAGTAATGCCATCTCTCATTCACAATGCCAATCTTGCGATAGTTGTAACAAATCTTGAATATCGTCTCTCTGAATACCCAAAAATTAACTACCACGACAGAGGGATAGGTTATGAGCTTTCCAGTCAGCTACTGTCACAATACACAGGCAAGGACATAATACTGAAGCTTGCATCCACCATGAAGGCCAAAGTACCTAGTAGTGAGCCTTTTCATCTCCTTATTGTTGCCACACATCGTGATTGTGTGAGGAATAACCTTGAAGCTAGAGTAGAAGAAATTAATCATGATTTAGACAAACTTTTGCTTCCTGCTTTCCAGAATGAACTCCTTCTATGTGAGACACCTAAAAAAATTGCATTTGTTATAAATTTGAAGACCCCTGGCGGCAGTGACCAGGAAATGCTGGAGAAAATTCGTACCAAAGTCAGTATGCAAAACTTGGGGAAAAGTATCGATGTACCTAGTTCATTTTTTATGTTTGAACAAGATATCATTGCATATGCTACGAAGGTTAAACATGATATCCTAAGCCTTACGGAATGCAGGCAAGTTGGAGCTAGGCTCGAAATGGGAGATGAGGTAGTGCAAGCTGCTTTGGTCCTCTTTCATCGCCAGAACACTTTCCTCTATTTCCGACATGTCCTTCCAAATCACGTCTTTGTCGATCCTCAAATTCCACTCGATATTGTCAATTCAATTGTTCGATTCAGTTATAAAGTAAGTTCTGGTGAGTTGAAAGGCTTTCTTGCGAAATATGTCACACAATTGCACAATGGCTTTATCACAGAAGAATTGCTTGCCTGTGATACAATTTCCCCTCACTTCGAAAAAGGCATCTATGAGGTTCATGATAATATACAGCTCTTATGTCACACCTTCACCTTAGCTTCAATGCGGCCTGACACGTACAAGAACAAAAAAGTCTCTGCATCTGCCGACATGCAAATAAATGAACCAGCCCTAGTCGAAGAAAAAAACAAAGAATACCTTATGATGTGTTTAAAGCCTGCCATTCCTGATCAGAAACTCCATAACAACATCCCTAAGCGTTCAGACACAGTTCCACTAATCGTCAAGTTCAGCAGTGGCTGTGCTCCCCTTGGCTGCTTCAGCGGCATTATCTCTTGTCTTATCTCACAATATTGCTGGCAAGTTATCAGTAAAGACAACGTTCCCAAATGTCTTGCCCGCAACATTGCCTCTCTCCACGACCCAGACCTTCTTGTGAATGTTGTTCTTGTTGACTTCACCCAACATCTTGAGATCCATAACGACTCTGATCTCGTCATTCGCGATTCACCTGCAGATATCTGCAGTCAGGTCTACACAAAGGTGACTGGTGCAATTGAAAAGGTTTTTGGAATCATGCACATTAGCCAAGAGCAGATAAATGTATCACCTGCCGTTTTTTGTCGCTGTCCAGACCAACAAGAAAGGCACTTTGCCTCATTTGTACGTTCCAATGGCAAATATTTTCTTTGCTGCGACAATTCAAAATCTACATTTGCACCAAGTGTGGAGCAACTCTTATGGATGGGTGTAGGTGGACAACTAGTTGCAAAAAGGCCACGGACTGGGGATCAACCGGACTTGATCCAGCCCTCTCACATTTGCACAGCAGGTATATTTCTCACATGATGTCACTAAACCTAGAAAAAGTTAGGCTTGTGCACATTATGCAATGGGGCATAATGAGTACAAGTTAGTAGCATTATGGACAAATAACTGGGAGTATTCAGAAGTTAGCACATGCGTAATAACACAAAATTTACTCCTACGTGCAATACCAAATTGCCTTGGTCCACTGCAGCGTCCTTTTCCTCATGTACTTTAGAGGATCGGAGTTTCTGCTGAAATGAATACAGCCTCGTACTAGTGCAGATCAATAACAAGTGCCTCATCTATCCGAATAGCAGAAGATACATTGCCATTCTCTGTGCAAGCAAGGATGCCAGTGGTCACGGGGACAGCTACCATCGCTGGGTGTATTCTGCTTGGAGGGGGGTGCTTATGAGAATGAAAGCCATAATTGTGCTCAAGCCTAAGCAAAAAATTTCACATTCCCAATAGTCCTATACTACTATCACAATTTAGAAAATATACCTGCACGTGAAGCCAGGGCTGTCAAAATAATTTTACCGTCCGTCTTAGCACAAGGTTGTAAACATCAGTGTAGCTATTCGCACATCTTGAAATCCACAAAATGTCCAAGGTCGATTCTAGGAGGAGTAAAAACGGTGTGGTTTTCCTAGCTTCTCTTGCCTATTGGCTCGCTAACTGCTTGCCCAGAACGCTAGACAGACTGACACAAGTGATGTTCCCTTCCCCTCGCATAGTGTGTGTTTTATGTCATGTGCACACACGATGCATGCGAATTGCGAATTCTCAGGATACTGTCCGAGTTTGTTTACGAGGGCCTGAAAGTCAAGATTCTCGGAAAAATGGCAGCCCTGCATAAAACACTTTTTTATGAACATAACACAGAGAATATTAAATTGGAGTAGCTATGGGAGAACCTTAATCGCCAGGTCCAATCTGTTTTCCTTGTTAAAGGCTGATCCATACATAGTTATTTGCCCAATAATTAACACGATATTTTACGGAGGTAAATAGGGTCGGAGGGTTGTAGCCTTATTTGTCTTTGTACGAAGAGATTATGCATAGTGATGAGGGCGACAACTTGCATCCACAAAAAATAGCAATACCCAACCATAGAGCGAGAGACTTTCAAGCTGGGAGCTTATTCAATAGCAACCACACACAAAATAGCACTGAAGTCTTATTATACACCATCTAGTTGTTGATTTAGTGGCTTTCTGCATTTAAGAACAATCAATATGAAGCGTTCTCGCTCATAAAATGGCATAGGTTTGTGTAAGTTAACTCTTTTGGTGGGACGTTATTGTAGAAGAATTATTTTCCACTTGGCCAAAGGGCACTTCTTCTTTCACCCCATTGGGACTTTTTATCCCTACCACTAAGGCAAACTCTGGGTCTACATTACTGAAGATAATGAATGAAGAAATTGCGAAATTTCGGGTGCTCAAAGAGTACTTATAGCAACTTTTACGAAAACTAGAGTGTATTAGAGCGCTGGTAGATACTCTTTATAGGGATAGCACGGGTCAAATCTCACGTGATCTGCATACAAAATGCATCAAAACTCGGCGAGAAGGAAGGTTTCAAAATCACTATATGGGCCATTATCTAGCTATACATATGCCCAAATACTTTATACATGCCGTCAGTTCTCCACACGAGAATTTGCTTATACGTGAATTCTCGATTTTCGTCATCATCATCTTCTTCTTCAATCCCGCTATCTCCTTACCGGAACAAGTTGCAGCGCTGATTTTTTCACTGAACGTCCACGGACGTGTGCACGGCCATCAAGCGGCGGTTTCTTTATTGTCGCAAGACCGCCGGAGCAAGACACTTCCACTCGAGCTCTCAGCCGACGTCGCTTGAAGGATGCCGATTTGTTGTTTGTCGCTAGTCAGGCATTGAAATCAGCTACAGGGAATGAGAATGTTCTGCCGGGAAACGCCTGACTAGCGACGGATCAGCATCCTCCAAGAAAAGGCTGAGCGCTCCAGTGGCGGTGTCTTGCTCCGGCGGGGTTTGCAGGATATATCCATCCAGTTGCTGCGATGCTTGTATGATGAACTCGTCCTGCTCGGCGGCAGTCTCGAAGCTAGGAGCAAATGGGCCTTCCCACTCATCGATTATTTTGAATTTGACTTTTGTGAAACCTCAGTGATCTAAATTATTCACAGTGATCTAACTTGCAACTTAGAGACTTAGTAGCTACTTAGATACCTGGCAGACCCAGTACTATGGGTTTTAGACACTTGGTTACTACACTCAACATCAAAGAGAATTATTCATGAGAAGTTGTAAAGTTTGATAACAGTATAGTCTGACAAGAGTGGATTGTTCTCAACACTCCTTCTCACTCGAAGTCTGACTGTTCTTTTACTCCTGAAGCCGTAAAAAATTGTCGTAGGTTAGTCCTTTCGTCAGTATGTCGGCAATCATCTCACTTGTTTGGAAGTATTTTAACTCGATAGTGCTGTCCAGAACTTTCTCTCGAACTTAGTATCAATGTGTTTGGTCTTGCTGTGATATTGAGGATTTTGGGCAATGCAAATAGTTGTCTTAAAAATGAGTTGGCTCAAATTGACCATTGTGAAGATCTTCCAATAGTTGTCTCATCCAGGTAGCTTCTTGGACGGCACAAGCCAGTGCAACATATTCGGCTTCTGCCGTAGAGAGAGCAACACACGTTTGTTTCGACTCTTCCAGCTTACTGCTGCACCACTCACCATGAATAGATAACCAGAGATGGAGTTCCAGTCATTCATGTCACCAGCCCAGTCGGCATCTGAATATCCGATCAATGTACCATTATTGTCTTTCCTTGAGTATGAGAGACTATAGTTAGATGTTCCCTGCGGTCCAGTGTTCCACAGTAGGACTGGAACAAAATCTGGCAACATTTCTAGCTGCAAATGCGATAGTCCATCCAGATAGGTGCAATATACTTACAAACTTCGAATGGTAGCTTATAGTTGTAGCATCAAACAACTTCAGGACTGTTCGTAGCTTTTAGCAGTTTTGTTATTGAAGTTATGGTGGTAGCTGATTAGCAGTGCTCCATTCGATTCTTGACAACGCTTGGTATATGGTGGTGGCCAAATCCATATACCTTCTGCACGCTGGCTGTCACTTACTCCAAGAAATAGTGGAGCTACCCAATTTGAGTTGAGATCGCTTTTCCGAGATCGGCCTAACTGTGCAATTTTGTGTGAGACTTCCCTGAACAGAATGCGTCTACATACACGGCCAATGAACAGACCATCTGATTCTGTGTGGAGGTGTAGATACAAGCGATCACTTGTAATCTGTTAAAAACCTATCAGCTCTTAATTGATGCATGCATAGTGCTTGCTTTATTCCAGCATCTGAGGCGACTGTTTAAGAGCCATCTATATATTCTTTTGAGAGTCGACAAAGAAAAACTAAATGTTCCATGCATCTACCGCTACGACAGTAACCCGTCGGGTTGCTTCATGTAAACTTCTCTCTCTAAATCACCATTGAGGAAAACAGTGGTGATGTCCATCTGGTGCCATTTTAAACCATTCTTTGATGCGGGGGCAATCACAGATGGAACAGATTCTGATCGTACAACTGGACTGAAGGTTTCATCATAATCGAGTCCTTTTTGGCAACGAGATGGGCTTTACATCTCTCAATAGAACCATCAGCATTCATTTTCACTTATAAACCAGTTGCTTATAGCTTTCGACCTTCTGGTAACTGTACAAGTTCCCAGACGCTGTTATCATGGAGGATCTGAACATTGGAGGAGACAGACTGACTGCTATGGTTTCCGATGGTTAGCGATGACCAATCAAGAATGGGTTGATGCCATGAAAGCAGAAATCGACTCCCTCCAACGACCCCTTGTTTCTTCCTTTTTGGTGCTACCAACCATCCCTATATGCCTTCATTTTGATATTTCCACTTGTTTCCACTATTTTTTTGTGAACAGCTATCACTTTCTTCACTCAACTTTGCATGGTAGCGTAGATCGCCAATTATCGCACCCTTAAGGAGAACGGACATCCATCGCTGCGGAAAAGTTACGTACTTATTCCTAACGTCGTGCCCTGCGAGTTAGTTATGTAGTACCTTCGTATCCCAGTTCCGAGTGGAAAACTCCGTACGTAACTGTAGCGGTAGTGCGTCCACGGCAAGGTAAAAACAGTTATCGCTACCGGGCCATTGCCTTCGCATACAATATTGCGCATTCAATTATCGCCTCTCCGAACTTTGCCCTCTCCCGGTTCCCGTGAGCTAATGTTTCTATTCACGCCCGTCATGACATACTACACGTCCAATTCATTCTACACAACGGTATGTTTTTAAGTCGGAAAATCTCTCCTTTAATGACCAAAAATGTGCACAACATCACATTACAGCATCAACGGAAAACATGGCATTACAACAGATAGGACAGACCTCTCCTGCCATTTGGTCTAAAATACCAATCTTACGCCACACTCTTCATGTAGCCAGCGGCCACATGCCACATTCAATCCTTCTTTCCTGTGCGATCTTCTGAGTATAATGCTACAAAACACACACATATCAGTGTTGATTTCAGGGTCATCACTTTCCTATTTGGGAGAGCTTACACACTCTTTTCTTTGGAGGCATAGGTAGTCAGTGGCTTCGTGCGAAACCGTGTCTCTTCCTGCCCTCCTTTCGCTTCTCTTCCTCTTCTGCTGCCTCCTTCACTTCTGTGTGCTTTGTTTCTGCCTTCTTGGTCGTTCCTCTGGCTCCGTTTCTGTGCCTCCTCCTTGCGCTTTCTCTTCCCTTCGCGTGTTCTTCCTTCTTTCCTCAAGTGCTAGCTTCTTTTTTCGCGTCTCTTTCTCACTGTGCCAAAGCGTCGGCCTAGGCAGTAAACGCTGAGGAACCCTCTTTGGATGTGTATGTTGGTGCGTTTTTGTTTTGGGTGTGTTTTTGTTTTAGGCTTAGGGAAGTGTCAGGGGTGGTACTGGAAATAGAGCGCTCACTTGACAGCCCAGATGAAGGAGCACCTTTGTTTTGCCACGCCTGTGAGACTTGGTCTGCGGGCACTGGGGAGAGCGAGTGCTGGTGGACGGGAGTGAGCGTGCGGGAGGTGGGAGGGTCTGCGCATGGGAGAGCGTGGTGGGAGGGGTCTGCGGCATGGGAGGAGAGTGGTTGTGGCACTGGGAAAGAGTCTGCGGCACCACTGGGACGGGGAAGTGGTGGGAGGGTCTGCGGCAATTGGAGTGAGGAGGGTTGTGGCACTGGGAGGGTCTGCGGCACTGGAGGGAGAGTGGTGGGAGGGTCTGCCGGCATTGGGAGTGAGAGTGGTGGTGGCACTGGGAGGGTCGCGGCACGGGAGGGATGCGTGGTGGGAGGGTGCCGGCACTGGGAGAGAGAGTGGTGCAAGATGAGGACTCGTATCTGCGTCACCGGCACCAGAAGGACTCAGATTTGTCGTGGTAGGTGAACCAATGGGAGCTTAACACAACAGGCACAGAGAAAAGTAGTCACTGAGAGATAAGTCATCATCGATTATGGTAGAGAGGTTGAGGATGATGATTCTAAGCCACCCCTGACATATTCTCTATCTGTAAACACATCAAAGCCTTCTTCATGGTGTTGTCTAAAACCGTGCGTCCTGCTCAACTGTTGAAGGTCATCTGATTACACTATCAGGACTGGTATCATTAGTGGCCTTCTTCAGGAGGAGTGAAATCGGACGAGGGCCATTCCATGAGAAACATGTGGCAGTAGCGTTAAACGGATGGATTCCGCGTGTGCGAAAGCCAGCAGCAATATTCGAGGGGTTAAGAGGAACTAATTAAGGAGAGAAGATGGAGAAGGACGAAGAGAGAACGAAACTGAATGAACAACGGGTAATTGGGATCTCCCCCCCCCGGGGTTTTGCTTGCAGTATGTGAGTGACAAACATTTGACCAGTGATGCGACTAGGGGCCCAAAACTACCACAATCTAGGGGTTGTGGCTCATGTGTGTGGTGTGCGAGACCATAGCAGGATGATCATCGTGTCCTTGGCTAGGCGCAACAGCTGGGGCTGATAATGAGTGCTGTGCGCCGTCCAGTATCAGCAGCAAGGCCTGGCTGAAACCGTCCGATGGGGAACAGCAAAGTGCGCACACAACCATTGCTCAAACAAATCAGAGTTAATCACCGTTGTCGCTGAGGCCATACTCGTCCCTGGGAATGATTCACCATGGTCCTGCAGCATTTAGTCGTTTTGCATCACCAAGATGACCATGGTTGGAGCGCATGCCCAGATTCACCTAGCACATCCCACAATATTACTTGCCCCTTCCTACCAGATTGTCCGAAACGGAACCTTTTTGGTTCCCCTAGTGGTCCACAATGTTTGGGTAGCACAGGGTCGAACGGCATGCCACTCTTCATCAACCTTGTAAATCTGAGAGGGGTTTTGAGTGAAGTCAACTCGGTTTCATGACATCGTTAAGCAAAGCAAAGTACGGCTCATTGTGGTCGGCATTGACCGGCATCCAGACGGGACATGGGCGGTGGAGTCAGCCTCGTCGCAAAAGAAAGTCAGGGCTGGCGTCTAGAAATCGTTCCAACACTTCATCCCGTTGAAAAGCTATCCCCTTCACAAGCCTTTATCAGCAACTGCCGCCGACTGACAATTGGCCATTACGTCTCTCCTGGTCTTCCCGTCCCTAAATTGGCACAAGATTTAAGAAAACTGCCAAGTTTTCTTTCTCTCATCAAGACTGAGGTAAGGTCTTGGCCCTGGTTAGTACCATGCACAACTCTTCCACTAATCCGATCCCCGTTAGCGTGCTAGGCGGCACCTAAGCCCCGTGCTCCTCTGCTCCCGCTTAATCGTCCATGGCCTTCCTAACTGAACTGGCAACTCTTGCCGCAGCCATCTCTTTATCGCCATTGTGTTACGCTTTACTTTGCCTTCTTGACGTAGGAGGACAGCGGGATCAGACTCGCTCCTTCTCCTGCGACAAAACTTCGGCTTCTTTTTAGGCATTCCTTCCAACTGATCATCTGCAATAGAGAGGAGTGTAATTTTAAGTTTGGTGTAACGTTTTTCCAGCTCACCAGTAAAATTAATGCCCTAGCTCACGGTTGGTCGGCGAGGATATGGCGTGTCATTGCGTATGCTCCGTACATCTCATAAATGTGACAAAACAAACAACAAAACTTCGCGCTGCCTTCCACCAATATGACCTACATCGCAGAACAAAGAGACTATGTAAACACTTAATTCTACACACAAAAACAAATTTCCACTTTTCCAATTAAAATGATACAGCTATAGCTTATGAGGGATAAATCGTCATAGATACCTGTGATGTTTCTTCCTAAGTTTTGTCAGTAGGGACGTGTACAGTGGAACAGCAAATCTCACAAACCTCTTTACCAAGTCACAAATAGTTTCTTTCTTGCTGTTGTTACCTGATATAATGGTTGTGGGGTGTTTCCTTTTGACCTCTCTGAGTCTCTCGAGGGGAAGTCCACCTCTCTGAAGGCCAGGAACCCTGGGATGTATGGCTCTCTCCTCTCACACCACTGCTCTGCTTCATGTGCACCACCTGATATGTACATGCGACTAGGGCTTTAGATTTATAGCAGAACATGATTGATGCTTTAGTTTCTACCACAATGGCCGAGTTTGGAGGGGCATCAGTAAAGTTAGGGTCTAATATAATAGAGCCCATGAAATTACCGTACACTGCAAACCAGCCATGTGGCCATTTCTTGCCTGATACAGCCACAGACGAAAACTAAAAAAAAAAGCTTCCCAATTGAGAAGGACCCGAGTTGGCCCCTAGTAATTTTTCTTCCCTCTCCCTCAATTTTCCTATCAAGCCATCTTGATGTACATGTATATAGTGTACCTCACGTAGAGTATCATACAAGTATGTAATAACTTCAACTCAGGTAGGTAGATCTTCATTCCACGGACTCTGCAAGAGGTGGAGAAGTTTGAGGAGGATTTCCAGAAGATGAGGATGGGGGAGGGGAGGGATATTGCCTACTCTGTTGTGACCGGGATGAGACCTGATCTGACTGGGGCTCAGTGTGTGCCTCAACTGCTGCAGCAGGGAGGAGAAGAGGAGGGAGGTGGAGAGGAGGGTGGGTGTGAGGGAAAGAGGGAAGTGGGTAGTGGGGAGAGTGAGGACGAAGAATCATCAGATGGAGATTGGGAGGAGGAGGAAGAGGTGGAGGGGGAAGAAAGTGGAGAAGGGGAGGAAAAAGACAAACATGTGCTGTATGTTCATCCAAGAGGAACCAACAAAGGAGGTAGGATTTTCAAACCGTTTATCGTTTTGTGTGGCAATCTGGTTGTTCTTGCTGTCAGATCCTGCCCAGTTAGAGCTGAAGAGAGCACACAAGGCGTCTGTGAAAGAAGAGAAGAGAGAAAAGCGCAAGACCAAGGTCCCCAAACACGTCAAGAAGAGAAAGGAGAAATTGTGGAAACTGAGACATAGCAAATAGCTGTCATCCAAGTCAATATTCATTGTGTGGAAATATACGCACGCGCAAGCATCCCGGCCTAGTGGGCATGCGCGCGCGAGGTCCTAGCTGTATAAAGGGGGGCGCCAGGGGGGATGAGAGAGCTATTAGAGGTGCCTGTTTTCTGATCAGGACGCGGTCATTGTTGAAAGTCTGAGATGGCCGAAGGCGGTTCGGCCAAGAAGTACTTATCCTGCACTTCCAGAAACATTTCGAGTCTGTGGGACCTGGAGCCTGGGGACCACATCCGAGTGAGGGGGGAGCTGGGAGAGTTCATCGACTCGTACAGCTCCGACCTCAAGATCTACACTCACCACGTGCTGGTCGTGGCAGTAGTGGACGAGTCGCACGTGGCAGTCATACACAAGACCGTAGATGGTGTTTTGGAGGAGACGAGAGAGTACAAACCCGATGATATCACTGTACTGGACTACGAATGTCGCTACACGGGCGAGAAAGCCGTTCAGAGAGCCCGAGAACGCAAGATACAGACGTACAACTTGGTTTTCAGTAACTGCGAACACTTTGTCACAGAGGTCAAGACTGGGGAGAAGGTCAGTATCCAGGTCAGGACTGCAGTGAAGGTTGCTGTAGTTGCAGGGGCTATGGCTGTCGCTGTTGCAGGTCTGTGGTATGCCTTCAGTGAGAGCAGCAGGAAGAAGAGAGATTCAGACTCTGATTCAGAAAGTGATCATGACAACACTCACCCTCACACTCATCATCAGTATGCATAGCAGTCAAGCACAGAAAGTTTCGAAAGGGGGTTGCGGGGCAAAATGTTGCAGGGGTAAATGGAATTTCAAAGATGGTGTGGTAGGGTCTGTGTCCCAGACCTAGTCTGCATGGCGTAGCACGCACGCGGAAGAAATAGTCAGGTGACGTTCGTATCAAGCTAGCTGCTATCTAGCTATCTAGCAGGAGAGAGAGCAGACACGGCCACGTGCCAATTAGCGGCGGCGTCGGTGGAATTCGACGACCTATGCTTAGTTTGTTGACAACACAGACGGAGAATTCGTTTTAAACCACACAGAGAGTTGTAAAAAGGATCAAAGTAAGGTACTGTCTATTTAGCTTGGCTCTAGGGCTCACGCTGTGACTGAGTGTGACGGAGTTCTTAGTATTCTTCACTATACCTTGCCGAGCGGTAGGGGATCGCTGGGGAAATAGGATTTTCCATATCTTTCTTACACATTACATCGAGTCAGTTGCAAATCCTCTCCGAATCCCGCTTGGTTTTGCTACAGCACGCTCTTTGATCTCCCCATATTCTTTACGGGGAAGAAATTGCTGTGTCAGCATAAATTTCATTTACAATGACGCAATCCCTGCGCATGTCCGGTCCCTCCGGACACCCGTATTTAATTATACCCCTGGAACGTGGTGGTTACACAATATTCCACGTGATTAGTGGGTGGGGTCCGGAGAACGCACACTGCTGAGCTCCATTACCATCGGTACACTACTAACCCTGGCCTTTCACAATGGCTAGCACCAGTACAGTCGACAAGGAACTCTCTCAAGGTTTTGCCATACTAGCGGCGCTCACAAAAGTGTAAGGAGGCTCTCCTTCAACAACTATGACGTAACCGCGCATATTGATTACATTCCACGCCGTTCTGCAATCTGATTGGACTGCAACTCAGAGGGTAAAATACGTGGGTCGTTGACGCTATATAACGTCGACCTGACTATATATTTCTTCCGCGTGGTGGGCAGGCTTCTACGCAAGGGCCAATGGTGTGGGGGAACCCCTGGGAATGTACCTAAATAACCAACTATAAATTCAGCCAGCCGCTCCGGTAGTTAGCTACGGAGCAATTTTCGGATATGGCTGTCCGTACTGAGAGGATCACTCGTCTGGATCAACTAAAGCGAGGGGACCACATCATGGTGAATGAAGTCTTCTATTACCACCACATGATAGTGGTGAATGTGGTGAGCTACAACACCATTAGAGTCATGCACAATAGCAAAGTGGCAGGAAGAGTTGAAGTAAATGATGTACAATACACACCTGAGGACATAATTCTCCTAGTCTACTCGAGTGACTACAGTACAGATGAGATTATCAGGAGAGCCAGTGAATGGATTGGTAGAGAATACAACCTTCTCTCGTACAACTGTGAGCACTTTGCCACTGAGGTGAGGACGGGAGAGGGGCAGAGTCGTCAAGTCCAGAATGCAGCAGTTGCAGCTGCCATACTTGCAGCTGTCGGACTTGCAGCTGCCGGACTTGCAGTTTTGACTAGCCTCTTTTCTGATCAGAAGGGGAAGAAGACTGATTCAAAATGATTCAGAGCAAGACACTCGTGCTCTATATATAATGCTTAGATAGCTGCTAACTGCTAGTGGAAACCATAACCATGTTAATGAAATTATGGACATACACGGATATTTTTGTAAGTGGTGGAAATGATAACCATTTTATGACTTTATGGACATGCACGGATTTTTTTTGTCGAAAGAAGTGGAAATTGACCATCATGGGAATAACTGACATTTACATGAGATTATTGGCGAGCAAAGCGAGCCTAGCTACCTAGTCGTTTCAATGCGGGAAATTAATCATGTATGTGACGGCTCTGTCGGACACTGCACATACTGCAATGTTTTACGTGATTGAAACCACACACGAAATATTGAACTGTTTGCACTTGCTCACCAACAATGCGTCGCATTCCTCTAGTAGCCAATTCAACGAATGATTGATTGTTCCCCCGCAGGAATGTACATTCCTACACTCTATGGGTAAAGACACTTCTTAGTGTTGTATTAAAAATAAGCAGTAAAACTGTGATTCTTATTCATTTTCTAGTCCTCTTTTCTTTCCTGAGGTAGCTACTTTCTCGAGAGCAAATCGGCCTTTATAGTGGTGGGGTAAAGGACACATCATATTTGCTATCCTATAGGAGCAAGACACTCGTGCTCAACACAGCAATTGCTGTTCATTTATGTGTCCTCTTTTCTTTCCTGAGATATTACTTGAGAGCAGATCTGCCTTGTGGGGAAATTATAGAGAAACACATACATGTCAGTAGGTTACATTGGCAGTGAGTAGCTATTGTCTCGAACTTCATGAGCTTTGCCCCCAATGTAGGGGGTGAATAAAAAAAATTCAGTGTTAAGGAGAATGAAGTGCTGATTTCGAAAAGTGTTAGTGTCAGGTTCAGACTCGTGTGAGCGGAGATTGACCAAAAGATGGTGAGTATCAACAGACCTTGGAGCATGTATCTGAATTACATGGCTGAAGAAACTGGTATTTTCTTGAATGGAGGCGTCACACTTGTGGCAGATTCTTTCTCCAAAAAGAGGCCTAGTCAGGAGATTGTAGAAGGGCCGAGTGATATTTGTCACCCTTGTCCCTGGCTGCCTCCCAGACCCGTAGCCAGTTGACTTCGTAGGCAAGGATAACCCTCGCTGAGCTGTGTGCCGAGTATAACTCTAGCTAGCTCTGTGCCTTCATGTAAAACGTTCCTACACGGAGCAGCTAGGGCTAGAAGGCAAGTAGGTCAGTGCCAAGTACCTACATTTTTCACACTTAAATGACATGAAGATTGGATAGACCACCAGTGTATTATAGCTTGTCTTGTTAGACAGGATAGTAGGGAAATCCCCTTGGGGAATACCTCACTATAAATGTGCGCCTGTAAGGAACAACCACAGCACAATAGCAACTGCCATGGCTGTCCGTAGAGCCAGTGCTGAGAGCATCACTAGTCTGTATGACCTAAAGCCAGGGGACCACATCAAGGTAGATGAAGTCTTCTACTACCACCACATGATAGTGGTGAATGTGGTGAGCTACAACACCATTAGAGTCATCCACAATAGCAAAGACGCAGGAAGAGTTGAAGAAAGTAATGTATGCTACACACCTGAGGACATAATTCTCCTAGTCTACTCGAGTCCGTACAGTAGACAAGAGATTATCAGGAGAGCCAGACAATGGATTGGTAAAGAATACAACCTTCTCTGGGACAACTGTGAGCACTTTGCCACTGAGGTGAGGACGGGAGAGGGGCAGAGTCTTCAAGTCCAGAAGGCAGTGGCAGTTGGAGCTGCCGGACTTGTAATTGCAATCGGAGCAGGTTTGCTAGCTGCTGGCGTTGCTGGCCTCCTTTCCTCTGATCGGAAGGGGAAGAAGACTGATTCAGACTCTGATTCAGAACAAGACACTCACGCTCAATAATGCTTAGATAGCTGCTAACAACTCCACGTTGATTTTTTATATCATACACATTAATCTCTGTTATACAAAAATAAAGAGAAACACATTATCTGCAATTGCTGTTCATTTATGAGTCCTCTTTTCTTTCCTGAGATATTTTCTTGAGAGCAGATCCGCCTTGTTGGGAAATTACATACACGTCATTAGGTTACATTGGCAGTGAGTAGCTATTATACCTGTCTGACGGGCTCAGGGACTCTCTTGAGGGAGCAGGCCAGGACCAGACCCACTGCAGTGTCCAGTGAGATCTTGTGGCCGACTGACACATACACTGGGTTGGTGGCCTCAGCTGACGTACGCACAGCCTGTGGGAGCAAAACAACAGCTTATAAATCCCAACATTATGAGCAATAGTGTGTGAGCAATGAAGTTGCCCATGGCAACTTTACCCAAGTTCTTGTCATTCACAACCTGTTAACTACAACAATTATAATTTCTGGCTGCTTGTTGTTGCAAGTTACCTGATGTATGATGCCAAAACTAGGATATAACGTGCAATAGGCAGACTGTGTCATACATAGCCCTCACTCACGTACAGCTCCCCAGATCATGCCAGAGTCTCCTATGAGGTGGAAATAGTCGCCTCTTTTCCTCAGCTGAGTCTGGATCTAGTAACCAACACTAGAGAATGAACCCAGGTGATGGGGAAGGGCTTTACTCTTTGTTTGTGGTCAGGGCCCTTCTCGAGGCCGTCCACGTGGTAGAGTTTCTTGCCCACCCCAATACTCGGTATGTCAGCCAGGACACCAAGGTGGCTGGCCAGACCAAACCCTGCAACAAACAGAATTTGCAGGCAAGACTTCAGCACACGGTTCTATGATGTAAAATCCATGAAAGATTTCTCCCCTCTCTCTCTTGGTACATATTAGTACTTGCAGCTCTACACATACACAACCATCACTGCAAATGAGCCAAAAGGTGGGTATACCCTGGCACTGTACGTTTCAATGCACAGGTATGTATGTATGCGGCAATAGCGTGCTGGCTGCAAACAAAATTACACAGCATATAATTACTACCTAAAAGGAAGGGTAAGCCCCTGGGAATGTTTCAAGACATAGGGGACATACACAGCAGACCACTCTCATCAATGGCAACACAACCCCAAAACATCAGTCCCTTTATGTGTACAGTAATATATACATGTAGCGTAGATCGCCAATTATCGCACCCTTAAGGAACGGCGTCCACTACGCTGCGGAAAAGTTACGTACTTATTCCTAACGTCGTGCCCTGCGAGTTTACGTACTGTAGTACCTTCGTATCCAGTTTCCGAGTGGAAACTCCGTACGTAACTGTAGCGGTAGTGCGTCCAATTATCGCCCGTCTCCGAACTTTGCCCTCTCCCGGTTCCCGTGAGCTAATGGTTTCTATTTCACGCCCGTCATGACATACTACACGTCCAATTCTACACAACGGTATGTTTTTAAGTCGGAAATCTTCTCCTTTAATGACCAAAATGTGCACAAACATCACTATTACAGCATCAACCGGAAAACATGGCATTACAACAGATAGGACAGAACCTCTCCCTGCCATTTGAGTCTAAATACAATCTTCGCCACACTCTTCATGTAGCCAGCGCCACATGCACATTCAATCCATTCTTTTCCTGTGGCGATCTTCTGAGTATAAAATGCTACAACACAGCACATATCAGTGTTGATTTCAGGGTCATCACTTTCCATTTGGGAGAGCTTACACACCTCTTTCTTTGGAGGCATAGGTATGTCAGTGGCTTCATTCGAAACCTTTCTCTTCCCTGCTCCTTTCTCGCTTTCTCTTTCCTCTTTTCTGCTGCCTCCTTCACTTTGTTTGCTTTTGTTTCTGCTTTCTTTGTCGTTCCTCGCTTTCCGTTTCTGTTCCTTTCTGTCTCCTCCTTCCCTTTGCCGCTTTTTTCTCTTCCCTTTCGGTTTTCTTCTTTCTTCCTTTCCTTTTCCTCAGTGCTAGCTTCTTTTTTCGCTCTTTTTCTTCCACTTGTGCCAAAGCGTCGGCACTAGTCAGTAAACGGGCCTGAGGAACCCTCTTTGGATGTGTAGGCTTAGGGGGAAGTGTCAGGTACTTGGAAATAGAGCGCTCACTTGACAGCCCAGATGAAGATGAACGCCTTGGTTTTGCCACACTCTGGGAGAGACTCTGGTCTGCGGCATGGGAGAGCGAGTGGTGGGAGGGTCTGCGGCACTGGGAGGGAGAGTGGTGAGAGGGTCTGCGGCATTGGGAGTGAGAGTGGTTGTGGCACTGGGAGAGTCTGCGGCACTCCATGCCTGAGAGAAGAGAGCACTGAACTGAAAACGGGTAGCTAATGACTCTCCCGGGGTTTTGCTGCAAGTATGAGTGACAAACATTTGACCAGTGAGACTTTAGTGGCCCAAAAACACCACAATCTAGGGGTTGTGCCTCATGTGTTGTGTGTGGGGGGAGACATAGCATGATGATATCGTGTTCCTTGGCTAGCCCGTCAACAGCTTGGGCTGATAATAGATGCTGTGCCCGTCCAGTATCAGCAGCAAGGCCTGGCTGAAACCGCATGGGGAACAAAGTGCTCACACAACCATGCCTCAACAAATCAGAGTTAATCCACCCGTTGTCGCTGAGGCCATACTTCGTCCCTGGGAATTCACCCATGGTCCATGCAGGCATTTAGGTCGTTTGGCATCAAAGATGACCATGGGTGGGAGCGCATGCCCAGATGCACCTAGCACATCCCACAATAGTTTACTTGCCCCTTCCTACCAGATTGTCGATAACGGACCTTGTGGTTCCCCTAGTGGTCACAATGTTGGGAGCACGAGGGTCGAACGGAATGCCACTCTCATCAACATTGTAAATCTGAGAGGGTTTGAGTGAAGGTCAACTCGGTCATGACATCGTTAAGCAAAGCAAAGTACTGCTTCATTGTGTCGGCATTGACGGCATCCATACGGACCTGGGCGGTGGAGTCACCGCGTCGCAAAGAAGGTCAGGCTGGCGCTGTAGAAATCTTTTCCACCATCCCGTTGAAAGCCTAGTCCCCTTCACAAGCCTTTATCAGCAACTGCCGACTGACAATTGGCATTACGTCTCTCCTGGTCTTCCCGTACCCTAAATTGGCACAAGATTTAAGAAAACTGCCAAGTTCTTTCTCTCATCAAGACTGAGGTAAGGTCTTGGCCCTGGTTTAGTACCATGCACAACTCTTCCACTAATCCGATCCCGTAGCGTGCTAGGCGCAGCCCCGTGCTCCTCTGCTGCCCGCTTAATCGCCATGCCATTCCTAACTGCACTCATTGCCGCAGCCATCTCTTTATCTGCCCATTGTTTACGCTTACTTTGCCTTCTTGACGTAGGAGGACAGCGGGAGCAGACTCGCTCCTTCTCCTGCGCACAAAACTTCGCTTCTCCTTTTAGGCATTCCTTCCAACTGATCATCTGCAATAGAGAGGAGTGTAATTTTAAAGTTTGGTGTACGTTTTCCAGCTCACCAGTAAGAATTATAGCCCTAGCTCACGGTTCGTCGGCGAGGAAGATGGCGTGGTCAGTGCGTATGCTCCGTACATCTCAGTAAATGTGACACACTGCGCATGCCTACCGCTTTTACGCGTGGCAGGGTTCAGTCACGATAATTGGTACCGCGCGATAATTGGCGCTTTACGCTACGTACCTCTTGGATGAAGGATCCCGTTTCCATCCACCAATATGACCTACATCGCAGACAAAGAGAGCTATGTAAACACTTTAATTCTTACACACATCCACTTTTCCAATGAAAATGATACAGCTATAGCTTATGAGGGATAAATCTTCAGAGATACCTGTGAAGGTTTCTTCCTAAGTTTTGTCAGTAGGGACTTGTACAGTGGAACAGGCAAATCTCACAAACCTCTTTTACCAAGTCACAAACTAGTTTCTTGCTGTTGTTACCTGAGGATAATGTTGTGGGTGTTGTCTTTGAACCTCTCTGAGTCTCTCGAGGAGGAAGTCCACCTCTCTGAAGGCCAGGAACCCTGGGATGTATGGCTCTCTCATCTCCACCACTGCTCTGCTCTCATGCACCACCTGATATTGTACATGCGACAGGGGCTTAGATGTTATAGGCAGAACATGATTGATGCTTTAGTTTCTACCACAATGGCATAGTTGGAGGGGCACAGTAAAGTTAGGGTCTATAGCCCATGAAATTACCGTACACTGCAAACAAGCCATGTGGTCCATTTCTTGCTGATACAGCCCACAGACGAAACTAAAAGCTTCACCAATTGAGAAGGACCCGAGTTGGGCCCCTAGTAATTTTTTCTTCCCTCTCTCAATTTCCTACAGCTGTATGTACATGATATATGTACTCACGTAGAGTATCATACAGAGTATGTAATACCTTCAACTCAGGGTAGGTGAGTACAGTCAACATGGCACATGCGTGGTCAGGGTGAGCCTTGTCAAATGAGATGTCCACCCCAGCAATGGTGGTGAGACGAGCAAATGGGAGTGTGTCCCCCTCCCAGCTGGCCACCTCCTCCCCATCCTCCACCTCCAGTCTCTCCTTCAGCTCCTCCTGCTCCCTGCATAGGACACACTACACTATCATAGGACACAACACACACACACACACACACACTGTAACACACAGAACACAGACACACTGCCACACAGACACACTGCCACACAGACACAACACAAATTTGTCACACAGACACGCTGTCACACAGAGATGCAACACACACCTTTGTGTTAATTTATTCTGGTGGATAAAGCTTAAACAATGGTACGCACCAGAAGTCGTGTATACCTCTCCCACTTTCTCCTCTTAGCACACTCGTCAGGAGACAGTCTTTTGTCCTCCCCTTCCTCCTCTCCTCCCTCACTCTCTGCCTCACTACCTCTGTCCTCACCGTCCTCACTCCCCACTGTTTGAGGTCCTAGGTTTGAATATATACCAGTATAACAGCAAACATTGTATCATGTCTTACCTGGATGGTGTTTACTGGCCATAAACATGCATTACGCAGAGCGCGCTTGTCTATAAGCGCAAATTCTCCTCCCCCCCCCGCCCCCCCAATTCTTCTCCTCCCCCCGCCCCGGCCTTCTTCCTTCTGGCTAGTACCATGAACAAAACAGAAAAAAGAAAAAAAGAAGAAGTAAAAAAAGAAAAAAAAAAAATAAAAAATAGAAAAAAAAAAACAAAAATAAAAAACCATAAGACGATAAAAAAACAAAAAAAACACAAAAAAAAACAACCAAATCACCGAAAAATAACCCCCCCACCCCCCCACCACTCCCCCCCCCCCCCCCCCCCGCCCTCCCCCCCCACTTCGTCCTCGCCCACCCCCCCCTCCCTCCCCCCCCATCACCCCCCCCCTCCCCCCACGTCCCCCCCCTCTCCCCACCCCCTCCCCCCTCTCATCCCCTCCCCCCTCCTCGCGCTCCCCACCCTCTCCCACCCACTCCTCCCCTCCCCCCCCCTCCCTCCCCACACCTCCCCCTCATCACCCCTCCTCTCGAAACGAATACACCTGCCGTCATCCGAGCCAGTGCCGTTTTTCACAAACAGATCTGTCTTCATCCACGACTCTGTCATAGAGTGGAGAGTTTGAGGAGGATTTTCCAGAAGATGAGGAGGGGGAGGGTAGGGCTCTTGCCCCTACTCGGTTGTGACTGGAATGATACTCTGATCTGACTGGGCTCAGTGTGTCCTCAACTGCTGCAGCAGGAGGAGAAGAGTGAGGGCGGTGGAGTAGGAGGTGGGTGTGAGGGAAAGAGGGAAGTGTGGTAGTGGGAGACGTGAGCCTCCGCCCTCATGCCGCTGAGCGATTGAGTCGTGCGCGCGCGTGGCGGGTGCCGCAAGTGAGATTGGATGGAAAAGCACAAACATGTGCTGTGATTTTCATCCATAGAGCAACCACGACAGGAGCGTAGGTATTTTCAAACCGTTTCTCGTGTTGTGTGGCAATCTGCTTGTCTTGCTGTCAGATCCTGCCCAGTTAGAGCTGAAGAGAGCACACAAGGCCGTCTGTGAAAGAAGAGAGAGAGAGAAAAGCGCAAACACCAAGGTCCCCAAACACGTCAAGAAGAGAAAGGAGAATTGTGGAAACTGAGACATAGCAAATAGCTGTCATCCAAGTCATATTCATTGTGGTGGAAATTCGCACGCGCAAGCATCCGGCCTAGTGGGCGATGCGCGCGCGAGGTCCTAGCTGTATAAAGGGGGGCGCCAGGGATGAGAGAGCTATTAGAGGTGCCTGTTTTCTGATCAGGATGCGCGGTCATTGTTGAAAAGTCTGAGATGGCCGAGGCGGTTCGGCCAAGAAGTACTTATCCTGCACTTCCAGAAACATTTCGAGTCTGTGGGACCTGGAGCCTGGGGACCACATCCGAGTGAGGGGGAGCTGGGAGAGTTCATCGACTCGTACAGCTCCGACCTCAAGATCTACACTCACCACGTGCTGGTCGTGGCAGTAGTGGACAAGTCGCACGTGGTAATCATACACAAGACCGTACATGGTGTTTTGGAGGAGACGAGAGAGTACAAACCCGATGATATCACTGTACTGGACTACGAATGTCGCTACACGGGAGAGAAAGCCGTTCAGAGAGCCCGAGAACGCAAGATACAGTCGTACAACTTGGTTTTCAGTAACTGTGAACACTTTGTTACAGAGGTCAGGACTGGGGAGAAGCTCAGTATCCAGGTCAGGACTGCAGTGAAGGTTGGAGTCGGTGCTGCAGTTGGAGTGGGGGCTATGGCTGTCGCTGTTGCAGGTCTGTGGTATGCCTTCAGTGGGAGCAGCAGGAAGAAGAGAGATTCAGACTCTGATTCCGAAAATGATCATGACAACACTCAAACTCACACTCACCATCAGTATGCATAGCAGTCAAGCACAGAAAAATTTGAAAGGGGGTCGTGGCGTCGTGGGGCAAAATATTGCAGGGGTAAACGGAATTTCGAAGATGGTGTCTTGTTCAGGAGGGTCTGTGCCCCAGACCATGAGGCATGCTATCCAGTTACCTGTGTGGGGAACCCCCTGGGAATGTCCCTAAGTATCGGTTGCCAACTATAAATTCAGCCAGGGGTTGCGATAGTTAGCTACGGAGCAATTTTTGGATATGGCTGTCCGCAGAGCCAGTGCTGAGAGCATCACTAGTCTGAATGAACTAAAGCCAGGGAACCATATCAAGGTGAATCAAGGCCTGTACGACCACCACATGATAGTGGTGAATGTGGTGAGCTACAACACCATTACAGTCATCCACAAGAGGAAGCAGCAACTGGCAGTTGTAGAGGAGGACATTTATTGTTACACACCAGACAAGATCATCCGCATGGTCTACTATAGTCCCTACAACCAACAAGAGATCATTGAGAGAGCAAGACAGCGTATCGGTGAATACTACAACTTGCTCTTTGCCAACTGTGAGCACTTTGCCACGGAGGTGAGGACAGGGACTCCAGTGTCACTCCAGGTGGAAACTGTCAGCTGGTTGAGCATCATGGTCTCTGTTGGTGCATGGACTGGAGCAATGTGTGTCATTATTGCGTCGGCCATTGTGTACAGAGTAATCAAAAATTTTTTCCATCTGGAAAGAGGTGGAAGCCATAAACATCAAGTCAATGACATTATGGACATGAACAGATTTTTTTGTATGTGGTGGAAAATGATAACCATTTTAATGACATTATGGATATTTTTGGTGTCGAAAGAAGTGGAAATTAACCATCATGCATGAACATTTACACGAGATTATTCGCGAGCAAAGCGAGCCTACCTAGTGGTCTCAATGCGGGAAATTCATCATGTATGTGACGGCTCTGTCGGGCACTGCACATACCGTAATGTTCTACGTGATTCTAAATACGCTCAAAACACACGCGAAATATTGAACTGCTCACCAACAATGTGTCGAATTCCTCTTAATTCAACGAATGATTGATTGCTCCCCGCAGGAATGTACACTCCTACACTCTATGGGTAAAGACGATTCTCAGTGTTGTATAAAAATAGGCAGTAAAGCTGTGATTCTTATTCATTTTCCAGTCCTCTTTTCTTTCCTGAGGTACTTTCTCGAGAGCAAATCAGCCTAGTGGTGGGGTAAAGGGACACATCATGTTTGCCATTCCCATAGGGATTCAGAGCAAGACACTCTTGCTCAACACATTCTCTAGAGGAAGCAACAACCGGCAGTGGAGGAGATTGTTTATTACACACCGGACAAGATCATCCTCCTGGAATACGGTAGTCCTACAGCCAACAAGAGATCATTGAGAGAGCAAGACAATTAGGCCGTGAAAAATACAACTTGCTCTCAGCCAACTGTGAGCACTTTGCCACAAACGTGAGGACAGGGACTCCAGTGTCGCCCCAGGTACCGGCCACTGTCGGCATAATCATGATGATGGCTCTCTTAGTTTACGCAGTACTCAAGAACTTCCTACCCATTGCCGTGCATGGATTATATTTGTTGTTGAAAGTGGAAACCTACCATAACTAATATATGACATTCAATCCTTAGTAGGGGTCCCCTGCAGGAATGTACATTGCTACACTCTATGGGTAAAGACGATTCTTAGTGTTGTATAAAAATAGTGATAAAACTGTGATTAATGAAAAGCACTAAAGTGCAAACCCTCGGCGCACTGTGCATGCGCGGTACTGCTAATTGATGGGTTGGGCCAAGAGTATGCGTATACTTTCGCGGATGGGGCCTGGGGACGAGGCTACCCTGGGATGTAAGGCTCTCTCATCTCCACCACTGCTCTGCTCTCATGCACCACCTGATATTGTACATGCGACAGGGGCTTAGAACATGATTGATGCTTTAGTTTCTACCACAATGGCATAGTTGGAGGGGCACAGTAAGTTAGGGTCTATGGCCCGTGAAATTACCGTACACCGCAAGCAAGCCATGTGGTCCATTTCTTGCTGATACAGCCCACAGACGAAACTAAAAGCTTCACCAATTGAGAAGGACCCGAGTTGGGCCCCTAGTAATTTTTTCCTTCCCTCTCTCAATTTCCTACAGCTGTATGTACATGATATATGTACTCATGTAGAGTATCATACAGAGTATGTAATACCTTCAACTGAGGGTAGGTGAGTACAGTCAACATGGCACATGCGTGGTCAGGGTGAGCCTTGTCAAATGAGATGTCCACCCCAGCAATGGTGGTGAGACGAGCAAATGGGAGTGTGTCCCCCTCCCAGCTGGCCACCTCCTCCCCATCCTCTACCTCCAGTCTCTCCTTCAGCTCCTCCTGCTCCCTGCACAGGACACACTACACTATCATTGGCATGTACACACTGTATCACACACTGACACACAGTGACACAACACACACATTTGTGTTAATTTCTTCTGGTGGATAAAGTACATAGGTACACACCAGAAGTCACGTATACCTCTCCCACTTTTTCCTCTTAGCACACTCGTCAGGAGACAGTCTTTTGTCCTCCCCTTCCTCCTCTCCTCCCTCACTCTCTGCCTCACTACCTCCCCCCTCACCCTCCTCCACACCCTCCACTGTTGCAGGTTGAATGAAATTGGAGGTCCTAGGTTTGAATATATACCAGTATAACAGCAAACATTGTATCATGTCTTACCTGGATGGTGTTTACTGGCCATAAACATGCATTACGCAGAGCGCGCTTGTCTATAAGCGCAAATTCAGCTCCTCCCCCCGCCCCCAGCCCTTCTGCTAGTAACCATAGAAACGAATACACCTCCAGTCTCCGAGGCCGTTTTCAAACAGATCTTCATTCCACGGACTCTGCAAGAGGTGGAGAAGTTTGAGGAGGATTTCCAGAAGATGAGGATGGGGGAGGGGAGGGATATTGCCTACTCGGTTGTGACTGGAATGAGACCTGATCTGACTGGGGCTCAGTGTGTGCCTCAACTGCTGCAGCAGGGAGAAGAGGAGGGAGGTGGAGAGGGGGGAGAGGAGGGTGGGTGTGAAGGAAAGAGGGATGTGGGTAGTGGGGAGAGTGAGGACGAAGAATCATCAGATGGAGATTGGGAGGAGGAGGAAGAAAGTGTAGAAGGGGAGGAGAAAGAGAAACATGTGCAGTATGTTCATCCAAGAGGAACCAAGAAAGGAGGTAGGATTTTCAAACCGTTTATCGTTTTGTGTGGCAATCTGGTTGTTCTTGCTGTCAGATCCTGCCCAGTTAGAGCTGAAGAGAGCACACAAGGCGTCTGTGAAAGAGGAGAAGAGAGAAAAGCGCAAGACAAAGGTCCCCAAACACGTCAAGAAGAGAAAGGAGAAATTGTGGAAACTGAGACATAGCAAATAGCTGTCATCCAAGTCAAAATTCATTGTGTGGAAATACGCGCAAGCAGTTTAGTGCATCCCGGTCTAGTGGGCATGCGCGTGCGTGGTCCTGTATAAAATGGGCGTGTCCACAGCTACAATTGGCGAGCGGGAGCGAGCCAACCTAGTCCTTCGTTCGAGCGGAATTTTCTGTATTATTATACAGTGGGTCCCGGTTAATATCATACCCGCGGTGCATCCAAAAAATATGATAATATGCGGGATATTCTATAATGCGGGCGCGTATACTGTGTATACTCCAGGTGTGTATACTGTGTATATTGTGAACTAGCGCACAATGCAGTTTGTTTAGCTAAGCTAATGAAGATAGGCTAGCCTAGCTGTTTACATAAGCTAATGGTAGCCAGGTGGAGAATGGAGAGTTGCAAAACTCCAGCCCAAAGTTGTACAATGCCTAATTACGCATGCGCAATATGACAATATGCGGGCAAAAAACCAAAATTGCTCAATTTTTCTATGATAATAGGCGGGATATGACATTATCCGTATTCTCCATACTCTATAAAACGGAGTAAAATGTATGGGAAAGCATAGGAAATGGTTTTGGATTTCAGGTTTGTATGATAATAAACCGGATATTCTATTAAACGGTATGATATTAAGTGGGACCCACTGTATATATTTAACCCTCGGCGCGCATGCGCAGCGAGGGTTACGGTAGTTGTCCCGTAAGTGTGTCAGTCTGTCTGTCTGTCTGTTACCACTTTTTCTGCCACCGCGCGCACGAAATCAGGTAAATAACGATATGATCGGGTTCAGTGCTACACTGGGTTGATTTTCGTAAAACTACTGTGTTTTAAAGTTATGGCGTGAAAACCAAGTGAACAAGCCAATATGTAAATTAGCACAGGCTTACCTCGACCGCGTCCGTTCGCTCTGTGTCTTGAAGGCACAACAAGTCACAACGAAGGGCATGTATCGACTCACGCATGCTATTTACTACTGTAGCTAGCCCGTGCCAGACTCTCCGCGAGCTACTAGCGGGATACCACGAGTAAAGGCATAAAAAACCCAGCCCATCAATTAGTGGTACCGCACATGCGCAGTTCGCCGAGGGTTTGCACTTTAATATTATTTATCGTACTTCGTGTAAGTGCGCATGCGCGGATTTGTACGCGCTTCTTTTTATCCGAAACCATTTCCAAATGTTTACACATTTTCGCACCCGGTGCCATGCGATATGCGCCGATCGATCTAGGCAGCTAGAGAACTCTCCTGCATTCGACGGCATGCGCTGCAACCTTCGTTGACTGACCGAGGCTGTACCTCTTCCCAATCTTCATGGTTCGAAGGTGCAACTTCCTAATAAGATAGGCTTGCTCGTGCAGATACTGCTGCATGCCTGCTGCCTGGTGGACCACGACTGACGGGTTGAAAGCGTAAGGTAAGTAGTACATACCGTTCTGCTCACCCTGCTCACCGTTCTGCCAATGTACAATACGCATGTAACGGCGACAGGTAGATTTGTCATGCTCCACGAAAGGAAAGCTGCTAGTGGAAATGTTGAACATTGTTGGCGAGCGGGAACGACCCAACTTGGGATTTGCCCGCGATGTTCGGGCTGCATAACGTGCGGTCAGCGCACAGCTTTCCTTTCGTGAAGCAAGACAGATCTACTTGTCGCCGTTACATGGTTACTGTGCATTGGCAGAACGGTGAGCAGGTGAGCAGAATGGTATATACTTACCTTATGCTTTCAGAGTCGTGGTCCATGCAGCAGTATCTGCACGGGCAATCCTAGCTTATTTGCAAGTTGCACTTTCGAACCATGAAGATTGGGAAGAGGTATATACAGTCTCGGTCAGTCACCGAAGGTTGCATCGCATGCCGTCGAATGGAGGAGAATTCTCTGGCTAGCTAGATCGATCGGCGCATATCGCGAGGCAGCGTGTCTGAAAAATGTAGTTTAACCATGGGTTAAACGAGGTTAATGGGGAGGGTAGTGCTTTTGGGGTGCGCAGGATGCACCCTCTGCGCGTGCGAAACCGTCAACTCTTATTGCAGGCAGCAGCAGCAGTACGCCGCATTCGGCGCTGGCTCACCTGCAACACACAGCGACAGGCTCTGCAGGTTTTCTGGCACCAAGCTTTCTTCTCGCCATCGGCCCGCGTCGAAAGTCGACTTCCGCAAGACAAGCCACCGTCACGGTACGACGGAATGTCCAGCAGCAGCCCCCCGTCGGCTGCAGCAACAACCGCCCGCCCCGACCGCAGCGACGGCGGGCCCCTCTGCATCAACAGCGACTCCTGATCCTGGCGCTGGTGGCGGCGCGGACAGTGGAGCCACGCTAGACCCAGCCATCGTGGAGGCGCTCCGGGCCGCGATTCAGCAGGAGGTGAGGGCCGCGTTCGTGTTCCCTTCCGGCTCCCCGACGACAGGACCCCCAGCCGCCAGTGCGTCCGGAGCATCACCCGCAGTGACTGCACCGACATCAGGTGAGTTAATCGCTAATTGTTGGGTGGCGGCACCACCTTGGCAAGCTGATATGATACGAGCGCGTGCTTCGCAGCCCGCGGCGCGGGCCAGGCCAGCACCCAGCCGCTAATACAGGGACAAGAGCGTCCTGCGCTGCCTTAAGCAAGGCCGAAGCCTATGGGGTGGTATTCGTGTCAGTATTCAAACGTCGATTTTGCCGAGGCATTTCCGTTTTGCCGCGGCAAAATTAAACTGCCGCGGCAATTGCCCCGGCAAAACCTGGGCCGAAAAATCCGGGACATTTGCCGCGGCAAGAATAACTAGCTGGGCCATGTTCAATCGTGTCAGTATTCTTGTCGTTGCCGGGCCTTTTGCCGCGGAAATCTACTTGCCGCGGCACAATATTTGGCGCGGCAGCAGCGAGCGGATCGAGCACACTAGATGACGACTGGCACCCGCGGGGGGGCGGATGGGGCGGGCCGGGGGGCGGTGGTCACATGCTAGGCTCAGCTTCATAGCTAGAGATTCGGCCAGGGAGCTGGCCCCCGAGGCTGGAGAGAGAACTAGGTTTCTGCCTTCATGGATACGCTGGTATCTTTGTTGGACGATTTAGACCGCGCTGTTCAAGTTAGTGGTGACATCTCGGGTTATGTCATTCGCGTGGAGGGAGCAATAAGTAATCTGACAAGACTCAATGATCCAAATCTTTCGGATGTGCTACGGGCGATGCAAGAGATACTGCAAGCGATACAAGGACATATTAACAGCTGTTTATGGTTGTCCGTCAAGGGTTAGGTCTGACCATGGTGGTGAGAACATTGATGTCGCTCGTTTCATGCTTGCTCTCCGTGGTCTCCAACGTGGTAGCCACATCACTGGCCCATCAACTCGAAACCAGAGAATCGAGAGACTTTGGAGGGACGTGTTTGAGAATTGCCTTCATGTGTACTACAGTTTGTTTTACATTCTAGAAGATAATGGTGTTTTGGATGTCAACAATGAGATCCACTTGCAGCATACGTTACATTACATATATGTTCCAAGAATCAACCGCAGTCTATCTTCATTTAGAGAAGCTTGGAATAATCACGGCCTCAGTTCTGAAAGACACCTTACCCCTCTTCAAATGTGGAGTGGTGGAATGCTGCTGAATCAACAGTACACTGCTGTTCAAGAAGTCTTTACCACCCCTGACTCTAACTCTACAGCATCATCATCATCGGATACAGAGCTTGACTCTACAAACACTCCTAGAGCACTAACCACAATAAACCCATTGGCCAATAGCGCTGTGATGGGTGTTGATTTGTATGCAGATGCACTACAATTACTTTCTCAGCAGTAACATGTGTATACTGCTCGTAGCCACAAATGCGCATGCTCAAATGGTGGGTTGCGGTACGTACTGCCCGGCCCCTTGCCTGGGCAATTCAATTGCCGCGGAAAATGGCAATTTGCCGAGGCAAGAGCACTTTTGCCGCGGCAAAAGGCCCGGCAACGACAAGAATACTGACACGATTGAACATGGCCCAGCTAGTTATTCTTGCCGCGGCAAATGTCCCGATTTTTCGGCCCAGGTTTTGCCGGGGCAATTGCCGCGGCAGTTTAATTTTGCCGCGGCAAAACGGAAATGCCTTGGCAAAATCGACGTTTGAATACTGACACGAATACCACCTCATAAATACCACCCCATACAGGGCATGGCAGCGGCAGCTACAGGTGGTCCGTCAGGCGATTGCATTGTGTATTGTCGGTGCCCATTATCGGCCTCGCACCCACTTGTGGGTTGACCCTCCCCACTACAGGTCCCACATCAACACCTCTAGGCTCCATCCCAGTATATACCTGCATCGCTGGCAGCGCTGCCACTGTTCTCCCTTGGCCATTCTGTCTCTGGCAGAGCAGCTGCAGCCACAGCTACTACAACTATGGCAACCGCCCCAGCTATCGCAGCTCTGCTTCCAACTGCCAAGCCACCTGGAGAAGGCGCAGTAGTGCTATCGTCAGCCCTGCCTCCAATCGGAGCCAAGCTAGTACAAAAGATCAGGTCACAGCAATATGTGGCAATGAAAGAGCTACTCTCTGACAACATGGCACTACATAGCCAGCTCGAGGACCTACCATCTCAGACAGCATTGACCGCCCGTCCCCACCGTCTGCGGGAGATTGAGTCCCCACTGTCCTGGGTATTTTGCTTTCTGGCATACGTAGCCATACGCACGAATGACAAGGAAACCAGAGACATGCTCACCTACGCTCGGCTAGTCATACGGGAGGCCCAGTGCCATGGTGGGGCTGGCTGGCTGGAGTATGACAAATGGTTTCGCCAACAACAAGCAGCCCTAGTCGGCAAACACCCATGGAATGAGCTAAATGCTAGTCTGCATGCAGCCACCG